GCGTCCGATTGGTCGAGCTGGTCGTTGACTTGTATAGGTGGTAGCCAAATTACTTGCAGATGGCATTCACACCAAGGGTAGAGAAGTAGTGAAGTCATTATTAAAACAATGGCGCTCTAACTCTGCTTGAGAGTCGGGGCGCTCATATTCCTTGTTAGCAGTCAGTATGGGGCGGAATGAAAAAAAAAAACTTGGGAACGCATCTCATCAAGACGAAAGTCGTGATAGCCCAAACGAGTGGTATGTATGATTGTACCGATTTCAGAAAATAAGTCAACTTACGTTGACCTTTGTCTTCTTTTGATGTTAGCTTTTGATTATCTTCGAAAGAAGGGACTAGGATTGATCGAGATTTTCTCACGCGTGGAATATTACGTCCTAGTCGATCGGCGTACGTTCTGATTCCTGGGAGATCAGCGCCCCAAGGACGACGTCCGGGTCCACTTTGGCGTTTAACCATGCGTACCTATGCTACAGCGAACGAGCAAACGCCCTCGGCCGACCTACCTCTGCAATTGCAAAATAAAAGCCTTCGCATATGGGTCGGTAGCTCGACGGGGATACGCCCCTAAGGGTGGTGACAGCCCCTTAGGGAAGGTAAGTTGTGCCCCGCGAAAACCTATCCTGTCGTAGGGGACCGCGGGATGTACAGCTGGCGCACTCGGCCGGAGCGGCGAAGGGTCGGCGCGGGTTGCCATGTCGTCCCCGAGTTGTCTCTAAAAAGTTGAAAGACTAAGCTTCCCCTGCGTGACGCGGCCGGGAGGGCCCTCGCTCGCGCGGGGACCGATGCGCTCGATAGGTGGCGCCGTTGCCGGGGATAACGACAAACTACCATTGTCCCTGGTGGAACGACACTCGGGAATGGAGCAAGTAAAAGATCTTGTCATAATGGTTGTCTAAGACAAAAGGTTAGTAATCTCTGGACCTCTACAACTGTAAGGAAGGAACCTTAATAGATACTTCCAAACTCCTAGACTGATTTCTTGGGTTTATGTTTTGGTCCCTAGATGGACGTCGCGACAACGACGACGATGGGAGGAATGACATTCAAGAACTGGCACGGGTCATCCGGCAGTCGCAGCGAGAGCCCTACCCTAAGATTGATGTTCCGTTGTTGGACGGGAATCATGCCTCTTCTTGGGCAGACAAGTTCGAGTAATTGGGATATAGCAACGAATGGACAGATGAGAAGATGCTTCGCACGGTTAAAAGGTACTGTGAGGTGGGGTACCGAGACGAGATCGATGAGCTGGTGCAGATATCTCGCGATTGGTCAGATATTAAGGCGCGGTTGTTGGAGAAGTACCAGCTTAGCGATCGGTTGCTCGGCCTGCAGGATTTGAGGGCGGAGGATCGTAAAAAGTTTGGTACTACCAAACAATTTTTATCGGAATTTGACTGTGTGGCTCGCCTTATCCCGGATTTGTCCGACAAAGATCGCTGCCTCATCTTCCTTGATAACTTCAACGACGTCGAACAGTCGAAATTGGTTGAAGGGATGCAAGGGAGGTATGACTGGACTAAGGTCCGGCAGAATGCGCTGGTGGGGAAGTTCGACGATATCCTCTACCGGCTGTTGAGGCAGCAAAAGGAGGAGCGGGAAAAGGTGAAGCTGGGATGGAATTTATAAAACTTTGACCTGCATGAGAGAAATGATGGAGGGCATGAAAGAGGAAAGGTTGAAGCTTGAAGTCATGTTGGCCAAAGAGAAAAATAGTAAGAGGAAGGGGAAAGAGCCGGCGGAAGAAGAAATCAATAGTGAGAGCGAGGAGGAAAAGGAGCCGCCTCGCAAGTTGACAAAGGCGGAAAGGAAGGTCTTGAATCAAATTCGAGGCGGACAGGGGACTTCCCGTAAATAGGGGAAGAACAGTGGACAAAATAATTAAGGAGGGAATGGCGGTGTTGGCGGTGGTTCGTCAGGACAAAGTTCCCAAGATCAAGGGCAGTTTCAGCCACAGGGTGGAAGAGGCCGCGGTCGAGGCCGTGGGAACGGACAGCGAAGTCGTTGGGCGTGGCAGCAGGAAGCCACATGTAACTATTGCGCAGAAAAGGGCCATATTATGCGGTTTTGCCAACTCCTTTCAAAAGATGAGAAGGAGGGAATAATCTTCACCACGATACGCGGTGAAGTCTTTGATTACGAAGGGAACCTGATCGACCCCAACATTGAAGGGGGTATGAGGAAGGAGGCGTTTTGCGGAATGGGTCGTCCGCTGCCGGCGACGTTCCGGATTGCTTCTCCCGAAGAAGCGCGGTTGGTCGGGGTTGAGGAGGCCATGGCGTCATTACATATTGACGACTCGTCGGCGGAACCAGGAGGGTTTAGGGAACGAGTGGTGGAACGAGCGCAAACCATCACGAGGCGGCTTGCCCGATGCCGGGACTCTATCATCCGACTTTGTGTGGACATGGAGGAGGTCTGGCCTGGATTGCCGAATGTCTTTCTCTTTGGCGAATGGGGTGATAAAAGGGAAGATGCGTCTGGGCAAGCAGGGACGTCTTCTCCAAGAGAAACATCGCGAACTGGGCCAATGGTAAGCACGATGCGACCTAGGCCTGTGCTAAAGAGAAGTGCTCCGACTGTAGCCATGCAGATTCGGATGCGGCGACGAAACGAGCAGCTTCAGAAGGAAAGAGAGCCTGAAAAGGCGGTGGAAGAAGAACCCATCCCCGTTAGTGAGAACGATGAGGATAACGAGGATGAGAAGTTGCGGGCCGAAGAGGAAGAACGGGCTCGTCGACGTGCGCTGGAAAGGGAGCCGCAGAAAGGGAAGGCCGAAGTAAGCGAGGAGGAGCCACGAAAGAAAAAGAACATTTACTCGATCCCCGTGGAGCAGGGGGTCGATATCGAGCGACTCGTTGATTAGATTCTGGAAAGTCAGCGCGACTTAGTCACGCTGAAGGAAATTTTGGCGGTATCGTCGAAGATCCGAGAAGAGTTTAAACAACGGATGACTCGCAAGAGAGTCATGACTGTTAAGCTCGGCGAAGGTATTCCGCCTGAGGCTAATTGGTCCCCGCCTGGGACGAAGATGGATTGGCGAAGTGTGTCAACCGGCCATATGAAGGTCCAGATCGGATTGCAAGAGTACTCGACACTTGTGGATGATGGAGCCGAGATGAATATCATTCATGAGCGCCATGCCATTGAAGCTGGGTTGAAGATCAACCGAGATGACTATGGGTTTCTGGTGGGCGCTAGCTGATCGACCCCATTCTGCGGGACAGCCAGTGGCATTCTCATCACGGTCGGAAAGGTCAAAGTCCGCTCTTATTTTTACGTGTTACCTAGGGTGGAACACGAGGTGCTTCAGGGAAGGGCGTTCCTATGTCGGTCGGAAAGCATCATCATTAACAAGAATGATGGAACCATGTTTGTAATCCTTTGTGATCCTGTCTGCGGTTATTACGAGGTGGTAAAGTGTGCAAACACTGGACCCTATTGTTCGCGGAACCGGCTGAAAACGGAATCGTATACATTCCCCGAGTCAGAAAAGTTGAGAAGGGAGAAGGAATCGCTAGGGGAGGAGCCGAATCCTCGTGAGTTCTCGCTGACCCTGCCTGATATTGGGCAGGCAATCGATTTCGTGTCGACACATGCGGCAATCGATCCGAATGTGGTGCAAGCCTTGACGGAGATCATCAAGGACACCGGAAGCGCAGGAACTATGCGCCTCGGAGGGGAATAAGGGAGAAGATCAGGAATTGCCCTCCACTCGACAGGGTCCTTTTTCAGAGGACGTAGGCTTGACACCGGCGCCAAACGTAAGTACAAGAAAGTAGGCGTGGAGGCGAAGCCGGTACCTGTTCTGATCACTCAGGAGGAGAAAGTCTATTATCGTGAGGAGCGGGAGTGGATCAGAGGAATGAAAGAGAGAGTTGAAAAGGGGCCATGTCGGTTAACTAAAGAAAGAGTGGAAAGTATGATCATTGGGGAGGAGGACCTCCTCACTGAGTACGAAAAGGGTATATCATCGATATGTTGAGGGAGGAACATCTCTCCTATGTGTTCGATGATGATGAGCGAGGAAGGCTGGATGTTGATAAAATTCCGATGATAAGAGTTCATATTGTACCACATGAGCCATGGAATGTGAGAGGGCCACATTATCCGAATCCGGAGGATCACCGTAAAGTGGTCGCGTATCTCGATGGAAAGATCTGGACAAAGGTTGCAGATTATTCTTACCGGCCATATGCATCATCGTGGTTCTGTTTCATCAAGCCGAATGGTACCTTACGGTGGATTCAGGACCTTCATAAGCTGAATTCGGTGACAGTGCGAGATGTAGGTGGGCTCCCACATGCAGACCTATTGTCGGAGTCTTGTGCAGGGAGGTCTATCATCACCCTCATTGATTTATATTCCCGGTATGATCAGTTTCCCATTTACACTGCGGGTCGGCCCAAGATGGCGATGCACAGTCCTCGTGGATTGATCCATATGTGTGTGGCGCCGCAGGGGTGGACGAATGCAGTTGCCATTGTTCGGAGATATATGACGAGGGTTATGCAGCCTTATTGTCCTGACATAACTTCACCGTATATTGACGATTTGGCTATTCTAGGATCTTGTACGAAGGACCTAACGGAGGTGTTGCCTGGCATTCGCCGCTTTGTTTGGGAGCATATCAATGATGTGGTGAAAGTTCTTAAGAGGTCTCACAGCTAGTGGGATTAAGTCTCGACATTGTATGAAGAGAGCAGTGATTTTGGGGTTCCTTTGCGACGAGAAAGGTCGCCGGTTGGATGCGAAGAAGACTAATAAAATCTTGGAATGACCGACCCCTTTCAAGTCGATCACAGATGTGCGAAGTTTCCTTGGAACCTGTGGATTTTGGCGCATCTTCATCCGCAGGTTTGCCGCCAGAGTGGAGCACTGGCGAAAGCTTGTACGCAAAGGCCAGAAGTGGGAATGGGTTCCGAGGCAGCAAGCAGCCGTAGAGGACATAAAGACTGAGTTTCGTGAGGGCGGATTGATCCTTAGAGTTCCTTTCTTCGTCGATGACGAAAAGCGTCCTCTTGTTATTGAGACTGATGCGGGGCCTACAGCCCTAGGAGGAGGGGTCTTAATTCAAAAGGATGCTGAGGGGCAAGAAATACCTCTCAGATTTGAGAGTAGGACTTTGAATGTTGCTGAGAGGAACTATTCCCAGTTCAAGAAGGAAACTTTGGTCGGGCTTTACTGTTTTCGTATTTTTCGGAATTATGTGTTTGGTAGACGCTTCATCCTGTGGGTGGATCCGACCGCATTGGCTCAATCTTTAAGGAATTATTCACCTGTTGATCCCACCATTGCACGATGGTTGACTTATATTTGGGTGTTTGACTTCAAGATTGAGCGGATTTCGGGGAGTCAGAATCGTGCTGATGGGCTGAGTCGGGTTGAATGGGATCCAGAGGCGGATCAGGCAGAAGAATCAGTTTCGGTTGATGCCTTTCTGAAGGAGGAGGAGTCACGATTGAGTATTAACGCTCTTGCCTACTTGACTGATGCAGCCACTCGGCATAGGAAATCGATATGGAATGCTCTAGCCTTTCACGAGGTACGTCCAGAACTCGTGGTGGAGGAACCTTTCATCGAAGAGGATCGATGGGGCGAGCAGACCGCAGAGGAAATGATGAGGCTGGCTTTGATCGATGACATCGACCTTATGCTTGATCCGCTAACGATTGAACAGGGCCATACGCAGGCTGATGACGCTTTCTAGACCGTTGGAAGGATGCCATATATCATGAACTTGTTGGTTCATGAGGATCGCTTGAGGTTAATGAATGCGGAGGAAGGAGGCAGTGAGGTTAAAGAAGCGTTTAAGGAAAAGGAGTACGAAGGGGAGTATAAAAAGATAGACATGTGGTTGAATGGGGAATTGGACGAAAGTGAGGTTGATCCGGTTGTGCGGGAGACAAGCAAAAGATTCGTTGTTCGTGACGGTCATCTCTTTAAGAAGGCTGCTGATGGTGTCCCAAAGAGGGTGGTATGCGGAATCTCTCGACAGTTGGATGTGATCGCTGCCTTGCATGATGGGGTAGTTGGCGGGCACAGGTCTGCGCGGGTAACCCTGAACAAGATCCAACGTCTTTATTTCTGGGAAGGGATGAGCAAGATGGTGATTGACTTTTGTAAATCTTGTTTCCCTTGCCAACAGAGGTCTAACATCCGCTACCTCGAGCCCCTAAATCCACGTTATGTGGCAGAACCGGGTGCGGTGGTGCATTTGGATCTTTTGGTAATGGGTACAGGTATATCTTCGATGCTAGGGACAATTTGACTGGGTTCGTTGATGGTCGTGCCATTCGCGAACGTACTGACCGTCTTGGCAGAGTGCATTGAGGAATATTACCTCCGCTATCCATTTATTCAAGAGATTGTTATGGATCGAGGAGGCGAGTTTCGAGCAAAGGAGGTGCAAACCCTTTAGAGAGACTTGGGTTGAGTTTCAGTTATACGACGAGAGCGCATCCCCAGGCCAATGCACCCGTGGAACGAGGACATGCCACCTTATCTAACTTGTTGGCCACATGGTGCAAAGGGGAGCCATCAAGATGGCCGATTTATTTGAGGCCAGCCTTTTTCGTTGAGAATGTTACCATCAAGCGAATAACCGGGTACGCTCCCGTCACATTATGGTTTGGACGGCATGCGACTTTTCCAATTGAGAGTTTCCTGACCACTTGGCAGAAACAAGACGTGGAAACGAAACTCTCAACAGAAGAGCTGTTGGAATTGAGGGCAAGACAGGTCATGGTAACCGAAGAGCGGATTGAAGACGCGGCTGTCTCTACTTCTGAAAGTAGGCAGGCCGACAAGGAAAGATGGGACAAGAGGCCACGTGTACGAAAAGAGGCGTTGGATGTGGGAGACATCGGCTTGTTGTATGATATGTCGTTAGAAAAACAGTGGTCCAGAAAACTAGACAGTCGGTGGCTAGGACCATATCGGATCACTAGGAAAACAGAGCATGGGGCGTATGAAATAGAGGAGTTGGATGGATCTCGAAGTAGGAATTGGGTATCAGGTGCACATCTACGGAAGTTCATTCCGAGAGTTTAACGAAAACTTTTGGTAAAAAGAAAAAGGAGAGAAGATAATTGGTGGCATCAATTTTGGTAACTTTCTTGCTTTTGTATTGTGGTCCAGTTGGTTCTGACTTTTGTCTTAGGCCAGCCAAGGGAAATATAAACTACTGGTAAAAGTAGTGAGATTGAAAGGTTATCGATGGGATTGTGACCCCTGTTGTTTTGTAATAATGGATTTGTGCCTTACTGCCACAGACAATTGTAAAATGACAATGATATTTTTCTCACAACTATCTCTTTGCATAAGAGGTATTGAATACTGATTGTAAAATAAAAGAGTGATACCAAAGGACTTTGTGAGATTTTTATCATGATTGGATGTTCATTGCAAGAAGAGTATTGTGGAGCTGATGGATACTTATATTATTAAAGTATTTGTCACATATGTGAATGACTGAAAAAAACCTGGAATTCTTATGGGACTCCGTGTATGTGGTTATAAATGAGAGATTTATGTGAGTGCATGTCTAAGGAGATGATGTGTACTTGAATCATATGCCTGGCTGGATTAACACATGTTATTCGGCGGACATGTGATTCAATTGCTTGTCATGCGCTACGACTTGGTATTGTTTCGATTGTCATGCAATGAGGAATCCTAATGTTGTGAGCCCTGTAGACGGTAGTGAGGCCTGCGTCGGAACTTTGTTCCTGGTCCATAGCGGGATGTTGTCGTCTTCCCTTTCGAGGAGAGTGACTACACTATCGTTGAAAAGGAGGAAGGTGGTAATATGTTTGTTGGAACCTTGCTTGTGAGGGTGGCGATTACCGCTCGCCATGAGGGAAAGATTGATCACCTTTTCATTTGTGGTGAATGGGGTCGCCCCGACTTTATGGCCGGGTCTGATCATCTTGGGTCATAAGGGAGGGGTAGTTCAACCTTGCGGGTACGGTACTAACAGATGCATGACACTGGAATCGGACGGAAAGTGGTGAGGCTCGAGTCTAAAGCGGGGCTTGACGTCGAGATGTTATCCTCTATGGATTACACCACTCCTCGACGCATTCACAAAACATGCAGGAGATAAATCGTGCATGACAATTAAGTTGGAGTGGGAATTAGCCGGACTGGACAAGGACTTTTGAAAAGGGTGATTTCTCTCTGGGATGGTGCCGGCACATGTTGTAGTATAGTGTGAGTACCCTTGTTTTTCGTGGGGAGCCCGGGTTAAAACTCGTGGCAGTGAGAGACATGCTGAGGTGTTAGAAATGCACCCCCACGAACATGAGAGGCCCATGTTAAATCCTTGGCAGTGTGTGCTGTATGACGAAAGGCCCGCAGGGGGTTAAGCCTGACGAGACCTAGACAGGGGGTTATGGCCTGAAGAGAGTCCCATCAGGGGGATAAGCCTGACCCATCTACGAGAGACAAAAGGAAAGACGAGTGGCCGCCAGTAGGATGATGCTGGGATCATTCTTCTAAAAGGTTCTTTTAACTCCTCAGGCTGGGTAACGCCGGCGGTGGATTCCAGATTCCGGGGAAAGGCCTGTCGGAGGTTATTTCTGACCCCATTCCAACTCGCGACTGAATGAAAGTGCTTTGGAAGGAAGATTCGAAACCCCTGTGACAGAAACCCCTGTGAGGGCGGGAAAGGCTGTCGGGACAGAAACCCCTGTGAGGGTTTCTACCCGAGTTTTTCGAGGTCAGACGCTGTCTGATTTTAGGATTGAGGAACTTGATGAGATTGACGTTGCCAAAGCTAGTCAGACCAACCCTATAATTGAGAAATCGAGAACCTGACGTCGTCGACGTGAGACGTCGTTGACGTGGGACGACATCGACATCCGTTTGAGACAGCGAAAGTCGGCACTGTCGTCCGCGGTTCTCGACGAGGCCGTAGTAGTGGGCAGTCATGGAAAAACTAAAGTTAGGCCTAGTCTACCTAAAATAATGTAACAGCCACGCGATTCAGGACCTAAGTAGGCTAAAAAGAGGTGTGCACCGGGTATAAAGCCGCAATGCAGGGGGGATAGGAAGGAGAGTGTAATTCTAGGGCCGCGGGGCTTGACGTCGAGCCAGGGGGTTGATAGGCCGATGCCAAGGTCACGCGACCAACTGAGCGTGCAGGGTCGTGAGTTGGCGGGGCCGGCAGGGCCACAAACAGGCAGGCAGGCAGGGTTGGGAAGGCCATAGGCAGGCGGGGCCTGCACAGCCCCGACGCGATGAGTTACTATTGGGCAAGCTCTTCTTATAGAAGAGCTTCTCCTACCTATACTGTGGTAGGAGCTAGCCCAGTAGGTTGGAGTACAGAAGTGTCACCCGGTGGACACCGGGATCGAATCTGAGAGGTAACATCCTACCGGGCTGGCTCCTTTTGGAGCAGCCCAAGGCCTGAGGGTGGGCGTGGCCGATTTTCGGCCGGCGATCTTCGAGATCGCGTGGCTGAAATCAGCCGCGCCGACATGGCATGGCCCTGTGCGAGGATGACTCGCACAAATCAAGAAATGACCCGAGTTTTTTTTTCTTTTTTGGGGAAAAAAAAGTAAAAAAAAAGACAAAGGGGGACAATTTACCTGCCCGCTTCTGGACGCATAAGCGCCCAAATACGGGCACTGTAGGGATAGCACCAGCGACAAGGTGAGTCGTTTCCTTTCTTCTTTTTTTTCTTTTTGTTCTTGTTGCTTGGTGCCACTAGGGTGAAACGGCACGACGGGGGGGTGGCCGTTGGAGAAGGAAAAAAAAACAATATAAAAGAAAAAAAAGAAAGAAAAAACTAAAACACTAGAATCTAGCGTGCCAGCTGGCGCGCGATGAAGTGACTGGGAACTCGAAAGTTCCCAGAAGTGTTGCAGGCGCCCGTTGGAAACGGGCAGCCACGTTTAGGTAGAAGTTGTGTTGTTGTTGTTTTTTTTTTTCTTATACCATGTTCGATATTTTTTTTGTTCTTTTTTTAGTTAGATTTTATTCGTGCACACCCGTTCGTTTGCGGACGAACGGGCTGTCTAGTTGGATTCGTACCGACTCTTCAAGGGGCTGAGCCCCGACTGCCCATCTGCGGATGGGCGAATGAATTTGCCGCCCATGAGCGACTACGTGTGGAGAGGCCGTAGGCGTCCAGGTACGGGCGAGGGGGCAAAGTGGAAAGGAAGCCCTGTTGGGCTTGACTCTAGTTCGACTCTGTGAAGTGAAGGGGCAGCCGTTCGTTCTGAACGACAAGCAGCCCCTGTATAAAAACAAACGAGGGGGTAAGAAAAAAAAAAAAAGAAGGGAAAGGAGAAGAAGAAGAAGCTGGGAAAAAAAAAACAAAAACGGCCGCGGATTTAACCGCGGCCTCAGTCCAGATGCAGGTCTAGAAGCATCTGGACTTTGATAAAACAGCAGACTGTTGGATTCAACAGTCTGCTTAAAAAGGCTTTGTACAGCCCTTGGTAAGCTGCGTCAGGCCGCGGGTGAGAGCCAGATGCATTACCAAAGGTCTGAACGTAGTTTCTTTAGGGGAACAACTGGCTTTTTGGCCCTTGATCGCGTTTTAGATCAAGGGCCAGGCCTCATGCCGAGTTCTGACTATGGGCAAAGCAGCTGCCCACATGCTCTCGGCTGGCTATTAAAGCCAGCATTCCACCTAGCAGCCTCACAAGTTGTGGCAGTGCTGCTGAGGCATTCACTTGAGTGAATGCTGGCTGGCTGCTGCTGTGGGGCGGTGCTGCTGGTGGAGGTCTGCAGTGAGTGAGGAGAGAGTTGAGGAGGAGACTGCTGAGGGGGAGGGCCA